GTTGATCCAAAAAAAAATAAAATGAAGAATTAACAAAAAAATATATAATAATAAAAAGTTATTAATGATTTTTTTGTAAAAAAAAAAAAAAGGAAAAATAATAGTTAAAACTAAATTAATTAATTATATTTTAAAGAAAAAATTTAGTAATAATAATATAAATGTAAAATTTTTTTAAATTCTCTATAGAAGTAAATTAATAAATAAAAATTAAAAATAAGTAATTCTCTATAAAATTTCAAATATAAAAAATTGTTAGCCCAAATCTAAAAATATATATAAATTCGTTATAAGTAAATATATACATAATTTGAATCTTGAGACTAAAAATTTCTTTAAAAGTAAATCTATATAAAAGTAGATTCGTATATTAAAAAGTAAATTTGTAATACTGGAATATGTAATCGTTAAAAGTAAATTAAGTATAAAAGTGAATTTATACATAAATTTGAACTTAAAATACTAAATTTCAAAATTTAAAAATATATTAAGAAAAGAAAATTCTTTAGAAAATTAAATATAAATTTGTTAAAATTTGTTATTCTAAATCTAAAAAATATTAAGTAAGTTAAGCAAGTAAATTCGTTACAATAACAAATTTAAAATTAAAAATAAATAAAATATATTATATTTAAACCTGGCAGAGATTATTATAACACGCAACTAAAAGTGAAGATGCTTCGAAGGTATTTAACTGCGGAGAATGCTAAAAAAAATAAATTAAATTTCTTAAAAAATAATTAAAATTTGAAAGGAAAAAAATATTCTATAAACCGAATTGTATACAAATTCAAATTATATTAAAATTAAAATAAAAAAATTTTAATTCATAAGTAAAAAAATTCATTTAACATTAAATAAAAAATTAAAATAATTTAAAAGTAAAACCAATAACATAGAAGGAATTTTATATATAGTACTTAATCAAGTTACTAAAATATTTAAATAAAAAAAATAAAAGTAAAACAAGAATATAAACGGAATTGCATATAAAATATTAAACTAAACAATCTAAATTAAAAAGTAAAAAAGAATTACCAAAACAGAATTGCATACAAAATGTGTAACCAAGAATTTTATTTAAAATTTTAATTTATTTACTAATTACAAAAAATAATCTAAATTCCAAAAAAAACAATCATATAAACAGGATATTATTTAAAATATTAAACTAAAAAGAAATTTATAAACAAAAATTAAAGCAAATTGAAAAAAAATAAATTTATAACGTAATTTGTATATAAACAAACACATCACTATTTCATAATGAAATGTATAAAAAAATGATCTAACTAGAAAAATATATATATAAGCTGATTTATTAACTTATATAAGGTTATTATAAAAAATAATCTGAACGAAAAAATAAGTATATATGCTGACTCGTATATAAATTAAAATCATATTATTTAAAAGATAAATCAATATAACAAAATAAAATTACTTTTAAAGTAGATTTGTAAAAAAAATAAAAATAATTTTTATTCAAACAAAAAAGTATAATCAATTTCAGAGCAAACTTATAAAGAATTTCTAATCAATTTAAAAACTTATAAAAAAAGCTAATTTTAACAGAAAATACTTTTACAAGCAGGATTGTATATAATATAAAATAAAATCAAAAAAAAAATTTGTAAAAAAAATTAATCATTATAAACTATTTTTTTATTAATACATTATAATTAATAACTTTAACGAAAACTTTAGTAATAAAAACAATTAAAAAATTAAAAAATAGTACTTAAGTAAAATTTACGAGCTAAAAATTAATTTTGAAAAAATTTGTAAAATTCTATAAATCTTGTAGTAGTAAATAACTTTTATTAAAGATTTTTATTTTAAAAATTTAGTAAAGAGATTAAATAAAGCAGTAAAGGAGATTTATTAAACTAAAAAATAATTTAATTTACACCCAATATATTAGACAAAAATAAATTTTATATACTCAGAAGTCTTTTTTAATATTTATAATATAAGACTTAAGCAAAAAATTTACAACCCAAGAAAAGAAAAATTAAAAACTTAGAATTAGATTAAATTTAGGTGCAATAATATAAAACATGGAAATTTTAATAATTTTGTGTACTAGTAGATATCTTTTTAATAACTATTTATATAAAACTATTAAAAAAAAACTTATATAAATAGCAATAAGAGTTTAAAAAAATTAAAAATTAAATTAAATTCTACTGGAAAAAATAAGTAAAAGGATTTATTTCTGACATTTTTACATATAATTATTAGTATTAGTATTAAAGTTTATTTATTTGTATTATTGCTTTTTATATATTTTACTTTTTCTTATAAAATATATAATGATAAGAATAAAATATTAAAGCAAATAATTAATAAATTAAAAATTATAATAAATTAAGAAAAAGTGTAATACTTCTTGTGGGATATTATAATCCAAATACTTCAGCAGAGACAATAATAAATGTAATAACAGAAATTTATATAAAAAAGAATTTAATTAATCTATGGGCAAAAAATAAATAAAATAATTATATAGGAAAAACCATTTAGTCATTAAAAAAAATGCTTTTAATATTATTAATCTAAAACTTTAGCAAAACATTTATTACTAAGTAAGAAAAATTTAAAAAAATTAAAAATTAGATAAAACACCCAAAAAAATTAAACAAGGAAATTTTATGTATCCAAAAACTTTAGAAAAGATATTTATTAAAGTTATAAAGAAAAATATAGAAATAAGAAAATAAATTTATTCTACAAGCAAAAATTTAACAAAAAATTTTTTTTATATACTTCAAGAAATCGTGTAGTTAGTGAAAAACTACTTTTTATTGTTTATTATAATTTAAAAGAAATTAACGTAATAAAAGAAATTTGAATAGATTAGAATTTATATTAAATCTACGTGCTAAACAAATGAAATAATATATTTATAAGATATCGATGAGTCAGGAGAAAGTACTTTTGAATTCTAAAACTTTCGCTAAACATTTATAACGAAAGCGAAAGGAAAGTAAAAAAAAAAGTATAAAATGCATGCAAAAAAAATTAAACAAAATAAACTTTTATGTACTTCAAGAAATCGAGTAGCCAGTGAATAACTGACAAAGGCCTTTTCAAAATTTTTTAATTTATATAAATGATTGCCCCGTTCCTATTTTTTTCTATTTAATATAAAAGATCTTTTTTATAATTAAGCAAACCTTTTTCTCTGTCGCTAATTTTATTCTTTCATCTTCAGAAAGTTTATCAATAGTTTCTGGCGGTGCTCCGACTTTTAATAATTTTACCTCATAAATCATATTGGTGTTGGGAGAAATCTTTCCTGGCCTATTAATTAAAATTATAAGACAAAAAAAAAAATTCCATGGATAAGTAAAAAGTTTACAAGCCTAGACTTCCATAACAAATGGAGCAATCAGCTTTAAATATAGAATGTTCACCTTTTATTAAAGTTATATAACTTTATTATTAAAAAAAATAAAAAAAGGATTACCAACGAACATAGTTATGACCCCTAAATCAAGGGCGTCAACGACATCGTTTTCATTAATGCGAAAAATAAAAAGATCCTAAACGAATATAAATTATTTATTTTAATTACTGCAACAATTTAGCTGGCTGCCTCTTCTCGAGAGAAATTTTCATAAATCACTTCATCATCTTCAGTTTGTTCTTTTAATTTTATTTTAACTTCTTGGCTCGGGAGCAATCTAAAATCAGAATCTTTTTCGAGAGATAATATTTTTTTTAATAACTTTCCGGTTCCTAATAAATCCTGCCACTTTTCCTCTGTCATGTTTAAAAACTTTTATATTTTATTAAAAGAAAAGGCTCCAACAAAGAGATAGAAATGCTAACGTGGAGATAAGCAAAAAGCGTACAACTACTATGTAGTTTGTTTATAGCACGCAATCCTTTTTTTTTTTTTTAAGAGCATCTTTTAGGTTTTTCTAGTTATGAGATGAACTTCCATTATAATATATTAAAGTGAATCCCGAAAAAAATAGGTTATTATATTTATTTGAAAAATCTTTACGCTGAAGATATTAATTATTAAGGTGAACGCGATACTAATAAAATTTTTATTATTTTATCTTTCGCAGTTAGTTTTTATATTAAGCGCAGTAAAAAAAGTATTACGACTTTTTCGACAAGTACAATCGTGTAGCTTTTATGGCTGAGCATGTATTTTAGTAAAAATTATACAAGTATGAGGATGGTGCATTTACAAACCCGAGTAATTTAAGCAAGGTAAAATTTTCCTGTTGTTTTTTTTCTTTTTTAGAAGAGGTTTAGCAACTTTCTTGGTTACTAAATTATAAAAAAGAAGACTATGTAGGGAATAATTCTTTATAACAACGTAATTACGGACAGAAAGTTTGTACTTCTCAACAGGGAGGTGAAAAAACTTTTGTAATGATTGTAATACTAAGTTAAAATAGGTGACTGGAAAACCATTAAGCTAGAAAAAGTTATTCAAACTGTCAGGAGGTGCTAGCTAAAAATAGTTTTGAATGAAAAAAAAAGGATTGAAAGGAACTTTTTTTAGATGAATACATATATTGTCATAGCAGCTAGTTTAATGTTCTGAGTTAAAAAGCTAGTCAGCTCTGAAGGGTAGCATAGTAGAAAACAGGGAATCAGCCGATAATAATTTGTTAAAAGCTGTATCGTTTACGCAATTACAAAAGAAGAAAAGTTAAATATTGAACTTTGAAATTGCAAGCAAAAGTTCTAGTGGTTTAAAAGTTTGATTAAAACTTAGTAAGCTAGAAGGAAAAAATAATTGTTTACCATGGCAACCAAATTTTAAATATTTAATTCTTTTAATTATTTTATACGACTAAAAATAATCTTACGAAAAAAGAAGGATTAATGGCCTTAATTTAATAACGAAAAGAACATTCTTCTCTAGGACGGATGGTTGCAGTGATAGTTAATATTAACTTTTGAAAGAGAAATAGATTTATACTCAATTGATCTACTGGCTAGAAACCTTTTAAAGAAATACAAAACAAAGCTGCAGGATCTCGAAAGTACTTTTGCTTTTTGTAGGCTTGGCTTGTAGGCGCAGATTTTGTAAGAGCGCTGCGGTTAGTTTGGGTATAGTTTTATAGTGGTTGGTAAGTGCATAAAATATAAAAAATAAAAATACTGATTTAAGCCGGTCAGTGGCGCAGCTTTATAGTTTTAGTCTTGCGAGGGAGCTACAAAAGTCTTCAAGAAAGGTCTTTTTAGTATTAAGAAGGTTTTTAAAAAAAATTTGACATGGTTTCATTTAAAAAGTGATTATTATTAATATTATTTCTATTTACTTAACTGCGATAGTACACTCACTCCTCAATGAGGTCTGGTTGTTAAAAATCGTACGGTGGGCGCTCATCAAAGCTCACTACTTTCCCCTTCATTTATTTTTATCTACAATCACTAAATTATTCCTAGAGGTAATATTAAATGCGTCAAAAGTAGCTTTATATTTATAACACGAAAGAGGAGTTAAACACTACGGGGTGTCGTTAACGGTAGACAAATGGATTTCAAATCTTTTTTATGTCACCACAGAAATCAAACTAGCCTGTCAACTTTAGATTCATCTAAAATGTTACTTTTGTAGCACATCTTTTTTCAATTTTTTTACTAGGGCATTCAGACGGTCTTGTAAAAAGTATATAGTTTCATATGGATTAATCTAACTGCAGAAGTTTGCGTTCTATTGCCGATTTTGTTGTGGAAATCTATGTTTAACTTTGCCTCTATTGCTATGAATCTAGCATGCGCCCCTATCAGCATTTTCATTGGAAACTATTATGTTATATGCGTTAATGCCTAAAAATTTTATGATTTGGGTTTTTAGCGCCTAAACAGATGTTTAAGGCTTTCAGACTGGAGGTGAGGGAGTGGGAGCTATTCTGTTACTTACTTTATATAGAGCGCCTATCATATATTTCTCTTTAAGTTACTTTTGCTTCTATGTTCATGATCATAAAGCGACTAACTTGGCGACAGTGGTGTAAGGTATATTATCAGGGCAAGGTGAAATAAGCGACCTTCAAAGACCGAAAAAGAGTGTTGCGTCAGTGGGAATCGAACCCACGTCCTTGAGTATGCGCGTTAATGCTCTTAACCGCTGAGCTACGATAACTCGATCCGGTATGATGTTTTGTGTAACCTGCTAGTGGCGGCCTCGGAACAGGACAGATTTAACTCTTAATCTGTTGAACGTCCAACAAAAAGAAAAAGGTTATCATTAATATAGGCATAAAGACCTAACAATGGGTATAAATTAAGATCTTAAACCAATCAATGAACATGTCTTCTTTTACGCGTTATACCCTAATTATTTTTATGTACTTCATATATAAATTATTTATTTACATATTGTATCACGTTATACATATTCATTTTATTTTATATATCTCTATAATAATAAATTTGATAAGATGTACCCGCTCAATAAAGAGCGCCTGTATAAAAAAAATACGTGCCACCCTCTATTGTCTAAACATCTGTTGCTGGGCCTTAGGACAAATCATTAGCAAGTGCATTTCTGCGGACGTAATAAAATAAGCTCCAGCGACTTATGACTGGCGCACCTTATTTTTTGCGCAATGAAACGTACAACAACTATCTTAAACGGCCGAAGGTCTTTTTCGGGTATACAACTACTGTTTCTTTTTGAACGTGGTAGTAGGCGTCCAAACCACCAGTGGGTTTAAGAACTTACATACGAACCTAGTATCGGTGCATCCCTCCGATAGTCTCTTAATGCTCTATAAGCTAACTATACTGTTTGTACATCTCTACACATATATGTAACGCGCCCCCTGAAAGTCTTGAGCTAAGTAATTAAATTTAATTCTTTTAAAAATTTAATTTTATAATACAACATAGTCTCCTTTACGAGCGATGCAATAATGTCCAACTCTTTTCTTTTCTACTCTTTTTTTTATAGAAGAGTTGCCACTCATCATCTTTCCATGGAGCACATGAGGTCTGCAAAGAGAAAAAGTCGCTGGAGGACAGATAAGGAAAGTCAATGGGTACGGAACCAATCCAAACGTGTTTATGCGATTATGTCATCGTAATTATCGGCTTGTGACACGGTGCATTGTCTGCCTTGATGAAAGAGCACCGATTAGAATTCCCCCTCAATCAAACCAGTAGTATTATTAATATTCGCGGCCTTCCTTTTTCATAAGTAGTCGACTTTCCATTAGTATTTTTATCCCAGTGCTATAAATTGCATCAAAAAAACCTTTTTGTTTCGCTTAAGCAGCTCCGAAAATTTCGAATCTTCAACGCATTCTTGTTTTTGGCCCACAGTGAGCAAACGCGGTACCCATTTGCAATTAAAGGTTTCTCACGTCCAAATTTCGAGCAAAATATAGTTTATACATTTCATAAGTACTTTGCGATGTCAGCTAACTCACACGACTTCGTTCTGCAGCATTTGTGCTAGTAAGGCCTGTTTTAATCAACTAACAAAATGAAATCGTTGTTTTCGAAGAAGCGGGATCCCTTATAACACTTTTCAAGCCATTGCTGAGCTTAAAAGGTATTTTTCTCATTAAAAAACAATGCTTAATCAACACACGAAATTCGGTTTCTCTATTATTTTAACAATAACAAAGGTTAAGTCACTAAAAAAAATTGCGATATCACGAATACTAATAAATGGGACATCAATTTTGGCACCTATCACTTAAAGACTGATGCTAATGGGGAGCGGTAAGGGTTCTTGATGGAGGGGCCATCTTTGGGTCAGCCGCGAGGCTTTTCAGGCGACGTGTTATGTATGTATATATAAAAATGTATATGAACTCTTAAAAACTGAGTACGAACTACGTAAAAAAGTTTACTAGAAAAACTATGCAATTTACGCTCGAATTTACCGAGCATCAGCACAATTCTTCAATGAAAGCAAACAAGTGCTCTTGGCCCCTCTCCTTCTTGCTTGTTTTTTTTTTTTTATGAACTCACACATATAAGAATAGTTATAGTATTCTCATGTAACACAAATGACTAAAAATTAAAACTTGATTAGCGAATAACGAATGGGGAAATTAACATTTGAGTATTACGCCTAGACTTCATAATCCTATAGCTACAAGTTGACTTACTATGTATCACAAAATTCTTATCGAAGGAAACTCTGTTGCTGGGCATTTACAATTAGCAAAACTAAATTACATCTTTTGCAAGGCTTACTGCATAGCACTGAGCAATAGCTTCAAAAAATCATTGACTATTATTTTAACTTAACCTAATAATAACATTTTTTTCACTGACAAAAATGCATAACGTCATTAATTGCGGCGAAAACAAAAGACTGACGCCTATTGACATAACCTATATGAATACAGCTTAATTATTTCATCATATAACGTATGCTAATTGTACTATATAGGCTTATATACTTACAGTTATTAAAGCAAAACATGTTAAATTTTAAATTTTAATATAAACTAAGTACAACTTTTAGCAATAATGATTTTTAAATGAACTTTCAAAAAGATAACTTTGTAAAAAGTAAATTTTTACGATAAAATTCGCGCAGCGGGGAATGTCGGAAGGGCTCGCCGGCCTCATTCCATATACATACTAGTTACTAGCACTGTCTATGATAGTGCTAGTACCCCACATAAGACGAACCTACATAGAAACTAGCGCCCCCTCACGCAGAGGTCGAACCGAGCCAAGAAGTAAAGGCAGAACCCCAAAGAAGCCCACCCAGCCCAAAGCTGGCTTTTAATCGATTCACTTCAGAAGACTGTGGGAAAGTATAACTTCTCCTCCATACTGAGCAAGTTGGAGTAATTATTCGCTTCATCCTTTTTTAAGTGAGCCATCATTTTAAATTAAAATCATAAAAAGTAAATATTTAAGGACGTTAGTCTGGTTAACACTTAACTAAAAGCTCGAACATTTTTTTAACTTAGTGATAGTTGTGACTGTTTCCATTTAAGAGTTGCATTTGATCTTTCCAGGTGCTTGCATGCCGCGGATATGGTGGGCTTTATAGTTATTTAAAAACCTCTTTATTATACTTTTAACTACTTCTGCTACAAAAGTATAAAAGCTAAAAAATAAGAACTTACAACTATCCAATTAAAGAAGACAAAAAATCGTCAGAAATCAATTTTCTCTTCGAAAGAACCCATTATTTTCGCAAAAGTGTTAATTTACGAATACCTTTATATATAGTTTTTTGTTCTCTAAGTGCAAGTTCGCCTTTAATGTGCTAAATTATTTAACAGATTATTATATACCATTGAATTTAAAAAAGAAAACAGTACTTACGCAGGAATAATAAGGTAAGTTTTAAATTAAAAAATTTTGCTTTAAAGATGGAATGCATAGTTAAGTTAGGGCAAAGTGCTTAGGTCTTTCAAAATTGGTAAAATACAGCCGTCGTATGTGATTATAGTAAATAATAATTTATTGGAACTCTGCTGGCTAGGTAGAAGGTTTTGCGATATTTCAATGTTTTGTAATAAATATTAACCTTACTAACTCGGTACAGATGCAAATTTTTTTTATAATCCACGGAGCAATATGCACAGTCTCAGAAACAAATTTTCTAAAATTGGTAATACATTAAAGTGTCTTATTAAAGAATAGACGCAAGCGAAGGCTAATACATGAGTGTAAGTTTACAGGCATATATAAAGAAGTAGTTTATCCTTAACCTTAACCTTAACCTAACCCGTTTTTGAGGTTTTACTTGCTGGGTAGTATAGTTCAAGCGAGCTTCCCACTCAAGCTTGTGGTCAAAAATCACTTATAAATCCTAGCCTACCAGCACCAGAGAGGATCTCTCCGGGAGATATTTCATTCTACGCGAGAGCCTATGGCCTTACATTTTGTCGGATTAAGTTTAAGTTTTTTGCCCGTTATTAAATTAGGTAGATCTTGCATTTTTAATAGCCAACGCACTCTATTTAGAACTTGGATAAACGTTGTCATTAGCGTATTTCGAAAGAATAGTGAGGACAGTATAAGGCATGAAGGACAAAAGGGGATGTCTATCTTAACCCTGATCTTTCTCTCTTTTAATAAAACTTAGTTATTTCGTATTAAGTTTCTAAAAGAATATAATTATTTACCTTTAAAGATTATATTTTCCTACCATGTGTTACTTAATGTTTTCGTTACCTGTGAAAACAAAAGTTGTAGCTTTTTCTTTATTAGATGCCATAGTAACGTACTCAGAGAGTCTTAACTATTTTTGTGGTTTTAGGCTGTTTTGAAAACCGAACTGTACATTAAAGGGTATAAACTTTTTTTCCCCAAAGTTCGCAATTTTATTTAAAATAAGCCCTTCAGCTTTCTAGGGAAGATAGCAAGCTTATAGGGGCGTTAACTCTTAAGCGAGTAACAAAGGGTGGTAATTTTGAAGGTTACCACAACTTAATCATTTCCAGCTTTCTGGCAACGTTGTTACAATAAAACATCATATTCATCAATTTATTATAAACAAGTTCTTTACTCATCAGATTAGTTATATCGTCCGAACCGCTTACTTTTTTGATGGTAAGTATACTTATTACAATTTCTTCCAGTGTGGTGCGCTAGCGAGCATCGAATGTCCATTCTTTATTACAAACGGAAGTAGTAAAATTAAAAAAGTTAAACTGAATTTGAGGTGATTTCTAAGGTATAATGCAAACATAGTCTTATTTAACAAAAAGATAATTATTTCTTTTAGCCACCGCCTTTTTTTGATATAAAGGTGATGATTAAACTTAAAAGCACAAACCATTTGCTAAGCCGCACCAATTTTTTTCCAATGAGGGCTAATTAACCCTCAATTAATAATTTTTATTTCCCTTTTGCTCATTTTTCACCGCTTCCAGGCTCTCCTAAAAGCTAAAAAAAGTTTTATATAAAAAATTTAGCCATTAGATAAATGCCGTGCTTAGGCAGTATGTGGCCTCCAGTCCTATTTCCACCCTGAAGGATATGTTTATTCGTTCCTTAAGTTTCTTTGCACTTTCTTCTTCGCCCTTTTACAACCGGCTGTTACTCTCTTTAAAGTTGCGACTTTACTGAATTTAAGTTCTTTTTACTATATAAACTCTATTTGGGCCACAACTTATTTATGAGTTATATGAAAAATTTGGTTCATCCTTCTTATTCTACGACTCTCCCTGTAAGTAGAATCAAGAAGATTATGAAAAGGGATGTCCACGCTCCTTTAGTTTCGCAGGAAGGCTGCTTTGTTATAGCCAAGTCCGTGGTACTTTCACTAACAAAACCTACAGTTATTCCGGGTCAACCTAGAGTCCTTTAAAAAGTTTTTATTGGCTTACAACTACTAAGTTTACTTCTTATTCCAAAATATTTTTATTGATTTGTTTCAAAACTTACTAAAACATTTAAAAAAAAATTGATTTTTTTTAGGAGTGTTTTGTGGCGTACCTTGCTACGGAAGGATACGAGCGCGCCCAGTGCGATAAACGGAAAACTGTTCAATATAATGATTTAGGTTAATCTTAAATTATATATATTTTGTTTACTTTTTTTAAAAAACTTAATTAGCTACTTGTGTATTTGAAGATAGCTCGCTTGCGTTTTTGGACGGTAATTATATTTTTTTTACATATATTTAATTGTCTATCTATGTCTCAAGTATGCATTAGTATAAAATTATTTTGTAGATTGTAAACTTAATTCTAATAAATTTAGCGTTTATTTTAAATTTTTTTATTATTTATAAAATAAACTACTTTTATTGGTGCTACAAAACTGTTTAAAAAATTTTATCAAAGAAATATTATTTTTTTTCAGAAGCACTTCCTTTTCGCCAAACTTCTGCCTTTAAAAGAAGAAGCACTTCTCGTTCAAACGTTTCTAAGAAAGGCAAAGAAGAAGAGAGTGAAGGAGATTTTGATGAAGGAAGAAATGTTACGCTTGAAGATTTATAGTCTTTAGTATTTAAATTCGATTGGCACATGTTATTTTTTAAGAAGTTAAAGTTTAGATGTAAACAGCGTTTTATAGAAATTGATTTCTTTTGATTAAATATAATAAAATTATATTTTTGAAAATTCTTGATTTTTTTAGTTAAATTTTCTTAATTAGCGTTTGAATGAGTTTATGATTTCGGAAGATTTATAGTAATTAAACTGTTAAGTGTTACTTAGTTAGAAATCTTGACATAAAATAATTATAAATTTATATAAAATTCAGATTTTATTTTTAAATTCGTGCAAAATAAAGTTTAAAGGCAGATTTTTAGAGATAATACAACTTTTATTGTTCAGAAGTAAAAGTTTAAATGTAATAAAGGTTTTAAAAATAGTTATTTTATTAAAATTTCTATATAAATATTTATATAACATAGAGTTTAAATAAATTTTAATTTGAAAGAATTTTAGAGTTATGAATTTTTTTGTTTACGAGTTATTTGTAATAACTTTTATTTAAGATTTTAAGTTAATTTTTTTAAAAAAAATTCACCAAATTTTTTAATTATTTATAAAATATAGAAGTGGATTTATAAAAAAATACTTTCAGGAGTCAAAGTTTATATATAATAAGCGCTCTATAGAAATTGATTAATTTTTTGATTAAAAGTAGTAATAAAAGAAATAATTTTTTAAAAATTTATTAAGTTACTACTAAAATTACTTATATATTACATTTGAGGAATTAATAAGTTGGATTTAAAAAGTTAAAAAAAATATCCAGAAATTAAAGTTTGGATATATGTAGCTTTTTCAGAAAATTGATTAACTTCAAATTAAATTTATAAAAATAAAATTACTTTTAAATGTTGAAGTTTATATATAATAAGCGTTTTACAGCAATTGATAATTTTTTGATTAAAAGTATTAATATAATTATTAAATTTTATCAAGTCGCTATGTAAAGTACTATTATAAAATGTATGAGTGAATTTTTGAGTTTATAACTTATAAATTCAAAAAAAATTATTTTTCATAAATCAAAATTTAAATGTAATTAGCGTTTCTTAGAAATTGATTTACTTTTGATTAAAAATAATAATAAAATTTTTTTTAACATTCTTCAATTTCTTTTTAGTTTTATATAGTATTAAGTCTGCTAAAATTTATAAAACTTTATTTTTTAGAAATTAAAGTTTAAATATGATAAGTATTCCTCAAAAGTCCATTTACTTTTAATTGACTTTTGATGAAAAAAAATAGTAAAATCATATTTTTAGTTTTTGTTAGAATCTATGTAAATTTAAACAGAATATAGAGTTTGAGTAAATTTTTTTTTAAAAGCTTTAAAAAGTTATGAACATTTTTATTGTTTAGAAAAGTTAAAGTATAGATATAGTTTATCGTTCGTCAAAAACTTATTACCTTTTTAAAAAATCGATGTTAAAGTTATTTTTAAAAATTTTAAAATTTTAAAATATAGAGTTTGAGGGAATTTTAAGTTGGAAGCTTTATAAAATTTTTTAATAATTTTTTTTTTAAAAGTTAAAGTTAAGAAAGCATAAACCTTTTTTTAAATTTAATTAAATTTAATATATTTGCTTTAAAAAAAAATATTGGATTCTATTTAAATTTAATATATAGAGTTTGAGCGAAATTAAAAAACTTTATTGCTCAGAAGTTATAGTTAAATATAATAAGCGTTCTTAAGAAGTCGGTTAACTTTTATTTAAATATAATGTTTTTTTATGAAAATTTTTTTGAATATCGATTTAAATTTATAAAATGCAGAGTTTGAGTAAATTTTTCAATGGAAAATTTACAGAGTTATTAAAACTTTTTTGTTGGAAAATTAAGTTTAGATATTAATAGCATTCTTTAGAAATCGCATAACTTTTAAATAAAGTTAATAATAAAGTTATTTGTTGAAATTCTCTAAATTTTAAATTTATACGTTAAGGAGCTTGAGTAAAAAAATTTTAAGATTTATAAAGTCAATAAATATTAATTTAAAAGTCATGTATTCTTAAGATGTTTAGTTTTAATTAGCGTCCTTCTAATTTTGTTTAAAATTAAAGTGAAATTAACAAAAAAGTTGTTCTTTCTTTATTTTTTAAATTTTTTTTGGTATATATTATGTATATATACAATATAGTGTTTAAATAATTTTTTATTCATAAGGATTTATAAAGTTATTAAAAATTGAATAGAGTGACACGTATTATTTCTCAAGAAGCTAAGTTTGTAAAAAGATCTTTTAAACATCGATGACATAAAAATATTAATAAAGTTTTTGTTAACTTCTTTAGGTTCCTATATAACATACCATAAGAAGTTTAAGGAAATATTAAATTTTAAAAATTTATCATTTAAAAAAATTGAATATTTGTGTTATCACTTAAGAAGTTCAAGTTTAGCTAAAAAAAAAATTAGCGATCCTCTTAGGAATGATAATCATTTGTTACAAATAGAGTTCTGGTGAATTTGATTAGTTTTAAAATAATAAAAAAATTTTGTAGGCTTGTTTTGTTATAATAATTAAAATCCATTAATTTTTGAATAAAATTAATAAGCTATATTTTGTACCTTTTTCTACATTTCTTTCAGTATACAAATATTCTAATATAGCTTCTTAAATTATTGTTAGCGTTTTCAAAATGTAAGTGCAACACTTTGTAAGTTTATTTTTTGTTGCTTTAAAAAAATTAGATTAGTAAGAAACCTTGTTTTCAGACATCACTGTGTTATCGTTAATTATTAATGACTAAATGCAGCAAAGGACACAAAAAAACCCACTATCTACTCTAAAATAAAATTAGTAAACGGGCTAATAAGTTTTTTTGTACGTAAAAGTAATGTGGCATTATTCCTTTCCAACGTTCTTAAGCTGTTTAAGAAACGTTTTTTATCGTTATAGTTAAAATAGCTACGCTCTACCGGATCTCCGTATAATTTTTTATATTATAACTTAAACATTGTTCTGAAAAAATTCCCTAAAAAGCTTTAATTAAAAAATACTTAAAAAAAGTAATAAATTTATTTAACATACATAAGATAAGGGCCTTTTCGCCCTAATATCCTATTAATTTTTCTTTATTTTAATGTTGATTCGATCAAATTTTATTTCTTCTGTTTTAGTTTTCGTTAATGATAACATCCAATAGAAAACATTCAATTTACTATTTTATTATGTCCTTACTTGAGACCATTTCTTTAATAAGTTAATTAGTAGTCCTTAAAATTATATATTCTGTCGGTAAAAATAAAGTATAGGTATAGCATAAAATAAAAACTTTGAGCTTCGTATACTTTTCTTCAATATTTTTAACTTCTGGTATTACTTTAATAATAGAATTGAATAAAATACATGAAAGCTATAAGCCTGTTTAGTTAAATTTTACGCAAAAAATTAATTTTACTAAAATATTTACTTCTTGTCATTAATACTTTATAACTTCCTTATTGTTTCTTAAATATATATATTAGTCTTTACTATACACTAATTTTTAGAAAATGTTGAGTCGACTCAAATCTAAAGATGATGAAAGGCAAGCATAATTTCCATTCTGATAATTCCACTTTTTTTATATATATATTTGCTATACCTATAAAAATAAATTTATAGCTATTCTCTGGTGTTAAAGCAACTCCTTAGCGAAGATGGCAACCGCTTTTGTGCGGACTGCTTTCAAAGAGGTTTTATAATTTTTTTAAAACTACTTAATCAGAAAAAAAAACTCGTTTTTAAAACTATTTTCCTATAATAATAATATAATAATTAAATTTCAGGTCCTCTTTGGGCCTCTTTGAATTTAGGAGTTTTTTTATGCTTGAGATGCGCTGGAATTCATAGACAACTCGGTGCCTTTGCGACGGCTTGAACTACTGAAAATAAATTTTATTATTTATTAATTACAGGTGTTCATATTTCTCGTATTAAATCTTGTACTCTTGACAAGTGGACACGCGAACAAATTGAATCTTTCAAAAGTAAAGGTATCAAAAAAAAATTACATTTTTATTTTTTAGCATTTGTTTAAAAGAATTACTATATAATTTAAATTTTTAATAAGAAAATCATTGGTATATTTTAAAATAACTAATTTTTTTCTAATTTTTATATAAAATTTAATAAGGAGGTAATAAAGTAGTTAACTCTGCATACGAGGCCACCTTGGACAATTCTTTTCTGCGCCCAACTACTGAGAAGTTTTTATAAATTTAAAAAATTATAATCTTTCAGTAAATTAAAAAGAAAATTTACCACAGAGAAATTGAACTTTTTATAAAAGCCAAATACCAAACTAAAACTTACTACAAAGAAGAAACATTGGATGTAGTACTTTTCAATTTATTACTAAATTTTGTTATTTTGCGTTATTATAACCAATAAGTATTTTTTATTTAGATTATTGAAATATTTATCAAAATAGTAAATTTATAATTATACATTTTATTAGATTTTTAATAAAAGTGGCAATAAAATTTAATTTTTAAAAATTTATGTAATTTACTAATATAGTAGTTTATAATAACTATAATAAAATTTGTTTATTTTTTTATAATATAAGTTCTTGCAAATTACTCCTTTTTGAAACTGTCAAAAGCTTTCAAGTTCTTTATTTTTTTAAAACTTATGCTTAATTTAAATATATTTTTTTCTTAATATAAAATATTTTTTAAAATTTTAAATTAAATTTTTTTTTAAAAAGTCTTTAACTTTTTATTCAGAGCTGAATTTAATTAATTTTCAACAGATTTGCTTCTTAGAATGCAAGAATCAGCTTTTCTTATGCTATTAATAATAATCTTTTTTATTTTCTTACAAGTTTTAAGTTTTTTTTAATTTAATTTTTTATAAAAACAAAATTTCGAAGGAGAAGACATCTGAATGTTTAATAATTAATAACGTTGAAGAAGAAACTTTTGGTAGCTTTATTGGAAGTTCTAATCAATTCGAATTACAAAAGTAAGTTGTTTATTATTATTATTATTATGAAAAACTTAATAGCCTTATAGTAAAAAGTTATATAAAGAAATTTAAATTTTTTACTTCTAAAATAAAAAAAGCCTTTATAAATTTCTTATTAATTTATTTTTTTAAAAAAATCAATTTATATTATAAATATTTTTGTCTTATTTCACTTTATAATTATAAATATAAAGATTTACTTTATTAAAAAAAGGAGAATAAATTTCTATTAAAAGTTTTGTTTTCTTAATTTACTTAATTTATACTTTTATATTATTTAAAACTTTATATATATATATTTTTAAGGTTTATTAATTTTTTAAAAGTATTATAATTTTTTTTATTATATCTGTTAAGTTATTATAAATTTTATATAATAATAATTAATTTATTTATTTATAATGTTATTGAATTTATTTATTTACACATTTATAAATTAATATTATTTCTTTATTATTTTATGTTTACATTTTATTATTACAATTTTTTTTGCTTTCATCTTTACTCTGTACACTTCTCATTATTATTATATGTGAAAATAAACGTTTTAAATGTAAATTTATATTAAGTGATGTTTTTGCCCTTGCTTTTCACACGTGTTGTATTGCTAATAAAATTTTTATAAACAAAATAATATTAACATTAAAATTTAGGGGACCCGAAAAATTTCAGGAAACATCCTTAAAAACCAAAGTAGACGTGATTGGTTAAAAAATTTTATGTTACATCGTTTTATAATGAATGTGAATGATTAATAAAAATGTATAATATTAATATTTTAATAATTTTCTAGAGGTTTTTGTTTATTTCTTTATAAAATATATTTAAAGTTTTATAATTGTACCTTTTTATTTTTATTTTATAAAATTATTTTAAATTCAAAATCTTAAATATAGATTTTAATGAAAGTAACTTAAAAAAAACCGAAAGTTGTTCAACGTTTGAGTTGGATATGAATATTAGCGGGTGTTCTCATAAACAACAGTTATTATTATATTAATATTTTATTAAGTTTATTATTATTATTATTTTTTAGGGACTTACCTCAAATCGTTCCACTAGGTTTCTTTATTATTTTTTTATTATTTTTAGACTATTTTATATATATAAATAGAAAATATTAAGCAAACTATAAAGTAAAAAAAATGTTTATAGAAAAATAACTTTTTTTTGATGAATTACAACTTTTTTATTAGTAGTTTAGTAGTTTTTTAAAGCTAATAATGTTTATCGCATGTTATTATTATATTTCTAGTTTCTTTAATTAGTTATAGTATTTTTTAATCCATTTAATATTAATACTTATAAATTTTTTATTATTATCTTATCGTGCTTATGAGTTTATTAAATAACGAATCATTATGCTCAAAAATTTTATAACATTCATTGTCGGTTGTGTTAGTGGAGCTTTGATTAAAGTTTTCGTTCCACCATTGGCTCGTTTTTCCGTAGCTGGCAGAACACGTCTTTGTTTACCACGTGATAGATAGATACACTTTATTATAGATACAAAAATTATATTAATAAAATCTCTACGTTTTATTGGTAAAATTTTTACTATGAAAATTTTATAATTAACTTCTACTAATAATAATATTTCTTTATACAGAAAAGAAAGATTCCTCTTTCATAGTAACTGGAGCCTTCAATATGGTGAAGAAGTTTATTAATAAAATAATTTATTGTTGTTAAGTATATTTAATGTTATGAATATATAAAAACTTTGATATTAGTTATTACGAAATTAATTTTTTTTTCTTTTTTTTACCTTTTACTTTAATGGTAATTAAGTAATATAAATGTGCTAATTTAATGACTAAAATGTCACGAATAGAACAATAAATTTTTAAAAAATTGTGGATTTCATATTTTTTAAATACGTGTAAAGACAGATTTTAGTTTTTTTATTAATGAAATAATAAATACAAATATAAAAAATAATATCAATTAATATAATAAATATTTAAAAATTAATAGATAAAAATGTTTAAAAATTAATAATACCATAATCAAAATATAAAAATATTTAAAATTTTATTACTGAAAAAAGGGTAAAGCTGACGAGCGTTCGAGCGGCGGTAGAGAAGAATTTTTACTTCAAGGCATAAACTTGTATTGCTTAACCATAAGAAAATTTTATAACAAAATCTAACTACTTACCAAAAGCGCTAAAAAAGACCAGCTCCTATTTAACGCCGATGATTTTAAAGACGTCGCTTCCGCGGGCCGCTGCGAGGAAAAAAAGTTTCTTTTACAGCTTTTGAGTACATTTTTATATATTCTTACAAAAAATTTCTACGTTTAAAGATTCCAGCATAGTAATCTTCTTGAAGATGATTTTTTCCAGCAAAACTTGGAACAAGAGACAAAAGGATTTCTTGAACAAGAGCAGCAAAGTTTCTCAAAAGACGGAATATTATCGCTGTTTGACGGGAAATCCAGTTATTCTTACGGGCAAAACATATCCTGCTTGCGTTCTTCAGCCATTATTCCTGAAAGAAAGCCTCAAGAGCTGGACTTCCAGAGCCTTCTTCCAGCCGTTCAAGAACCTTCTTATAAAACTTCTTCGAATTTGCAACAGAGTGATAAAAAAAGATCCACTTACGACGAGCATTTTGCCAATCTCCTTCCGAAAAATTTTTCAACTAATATTTGTTAAAATTTTTTTTAAATAAAGCATTTTTCTTTCTAGTGGTTTTTTTAGTTTTCCGCTGCACCTGATGTTTTCTTTTTTTCTGTTTTTAGCTATACTAATTTATGTAGTGAATAGTGAAAACTTTGTTGTAACAGATGGATCCGCACGCCCTGGTAAAAATTGATGCTACTTTCCGAGGCCCCCTGACTGAAATTTAAAGCGAAATGCCGGTAAAATATTCGAAACGTTAACGCAAGAATGGCCTCTAAAATAATTTGCAACTCTCTACTTGGATTAATTAGTAAAGCACTCGCAACCCGTCAGAACCCATTTCTTTTACTCATAAGTGTAATGAATTCCTTCCTGCTGGCGTTTCAAACTTTTCCTATAAAAAAATTTTTTTTTACGAAAAGGAATCTCTTAAAGCAATCAATTTGCGCACAAACCCAGTTGTGTCTTACGTTTCATACTTAGCAACAATTAATTGCTTTAGTTGTGCTTGTCTTTTTTAAACTTTTGCGCCATAGCGCTCGTAATATAAGCTTAAGCGCAATTCCTTACTATCATTATATGGATCAATAGGCAATCTGGTGACTTCAAATCAAATTTCAAATTAAACGAAATATTAGAATTCACCAACCAAGAAATAGAAAAAGAAAGCATTTTACTTAAGTTCTACCTTCTTTAGACTGTAAATAATATACGTAAGACGACATAGAAACATGCCAATTCTTTTATATAAAACCTCTCCGCGCACTACAGCTTAATAAAATATGAAATAATGATAACGACTACTTAGCCTATTTATTAAAATTAAATACATTTAATTTCCTGTCTAACTTTTGCTATCCACAAAACCTAAATATACAAGTCTAAGCCACAAAAATATATTTCACTTCCGAAGTAGCATTTTTTAAATAAAAGGCGCTCGCGAAAATAACGAGGTAAAATAGATATAAAGCCTTACTGCGTTGGCAAAAGTCTTACTTCAAGCATCGTTACAGATACAAGTAAAGTTGCACACCTTTGTCTATCTTGAAGTGTTAAACGAACTTACGAACTCTCAAGAGGATGATAGCGTACGCATAAGCTTTAAACTTGTGTTTAAAAAACCTCGTAAATATATATACATGAGATTATTCTAGTTCACCCTGCACGTAGTCAAATTTAAACTGTAGCGCCTATAACTAGGATGTTAAATAAGAAAGAGGTAAATAGATTTATTAAATTGCTTAACACTCGCACCTAAAACAGTTCGGGATGAGTGAAGTTATTTACATTTGTCATAAACTAACTTTAAGCGACGCTCCGCAAACCTTAAAATTACTGCGCTTGTAAATAAACCTTTCATTTGGTCAAGCGGCTCTTAGAAATCCTATTTTCTTTTTAAAATGAGGTTTAAGTAAACACCTAAAATAAAATTGCTAACCTTCATTTCATAGTTACATGATTAGAGCCCAATACGCAGTCGGCGACATCGCGCGCCCTCCCTAAATTGATTTCAGCTGCCAGTAATCGATTGGTGTGCTGATTAAGCCGTTCGTAGGTGACGATAGCATTGCGTTGAAAAACGTTGCCGAGAGGTTAAATATGGAGGTCTTTTGTAAGGCATTGTTGCGAACAAACCACGGGGCACCGCCTTGACCTTCGCCGCGATATAGTTTACGTGCGGCCGCCACGAGAGCTTATTGTCAATAATGACCCCAGGTACTTTGCCTGAGGACACCAAGAAAGTACCTTATTTTCAAAGATGAGCGGCGGGAGTGGTGTAGTGTGCTTCTTTATAATAAAAGCGCTTTGCTCTTTTCCACATTAATAGTAATGGAACAACGACGACACCAGTTGGTAGGCGACACTAGGTACTACTGCAGACGTTGGCGCTAAATAACAGACGACTTCGACGAGGCGTAACTTGCCGTACATAAGGTCCACGTGCAGTGGTTCGTCACTGTAGCACGTCGCGCACATGAAGTACGAAGGGAGTGGTCTGTCTTTGAAGCGACGGTAAAGGAGTTTGATTGGATTTTGTAGGTCTTCGCGGATAACGTTTGCAGCTACGATACTTGGTGGTGTGCGCTTCACCGCCAATAGCATCTCGTGCTTTTGTGCACTGCGCATTCATATGGACCTCGCCACTTCAGCTCTTTGAAAGGCCGCAGAGCAGAAATTTGCGCTGTGCCCAAAAACTGGCAGCCGGTGGCACTGTTCGACTAGATAACAGCTCTTTCACGTTTATCTAAGGATTAAAACCGTCTTTAATTTAACAGCTTCTGTCGATCACATATCTGTATTTACACTAACGCCTATTTGAAGGTCGCTTCGTGCGTTTCTTGTCGACAAGGTCCTTTGTGTGCATCCTCTTTACACGAAAAGGCGAGATCCTGCCTTGCAAGCGCAAGGCTCCCTCGAAGTTTCGTCGAGATAGCAATAGATCCGCGATAGACAAATTTAAAGCTTGTTTTCTGGTAGTTGGTAGATAAAATGTGGTAGCGCTTCCTCACGCATAAGCGTAGGGTTGGTTCGATAGTCGTCTGCGAAATGTTGTCGGCGTCACTAGTTAGCAGAAGTTTTCCAATAAAATTTCATCACAGGCGAATCTAATTATTTCGCTAAGAGGAGAAGAGCCGCGAAAGGTGGATGGAAATGGCTGTAGGTGATACGGGTATTGGGATGAGTACTGTCCGCCTCTAAGCCAAGGCTATCTCCATGCTCTCTATAAGGCACATCTATGTCTGTGTGTTACAGTCTTTAAGGTATTTGCAAAAGTATCTTGCCGAGTTTATTTACTACTACTTTCTTTGTTTCCTGTACTATTATTATTAAGGTTGATATTACATGTTATTTTTTTTAGTACCTTTTTTCACAAAAGCAATTCCTTCGCTCCCTTCTAAAATATATTCTTTGCAAGTCTCACTTAGTATATGGGATGCAGAGAAAGGATAAGCAATATATGTTGATATAGAAAAATTTTCCATCAGTTCTTTTAGTCGCTTAAACACGTTTTTAATGGGAGACATTTTTTTTCAAAGTTTTGTAACCTCAACTTCACAGCCTTCGGGCTCTTTACGAAATTGCTCAATAATATTAATAAAATAGCATTCGTCCTTCGCAAACCAGCTTTCAGAAAAGAGGGGTTTCCCAGAGGGACCCAAAACCGAGCAATTCAACAAACGAATGAACACATGAAGAAAGCATATATATATATTTTTTTAGTATCTAGCAAAAAAAAAAAAGAAAAGAAACAAGAAAAAAACAGCTTTACAAAAAAGTTTTTTTGTGCACTGGTATATTTTATTTGTTGACCAAATTATAATAAAAAATTATTCAGTAGAGACACTATTTTACTAATTTCATTACTAGCGACCCCACCAAACGAACATCTGGCCGGCTACAGGCATGATTTATTTAGTAATAATATTAATTAATAGTAATAATAATATATTAGTGGTAAAATCTAGTTAGTAATTGTTTTAAAGATTCCAAGGTTAACGTTTGAAGGCCTAAAAGCTAGTAAATTGTAATGATGCATTTATAAAATTAAAAGATTATAATAATAATTAACTAAAGCATTTAACTTAAAAAATGTATGATTATTGCACTAGTAGCCCATATATATAATACACAAGCGGTTTTCCACCACATTAGACAGAATGACGGCGGGGACCCGGGCCCGATAGTTTCCGCTTTTTCAGTCCTTCGGGACAGTCACGATAGTGCAACTTCCGGTGGGCATTTCATGTCCCACTTAGATCAGATCAAGTAGTATCCTAGGCCCTCTTATAGAGTCCGGCTGTAGTATGTCAGGTAATAATAAAAAAGAAAAGATGTATGGGATTTTTTCGTCATTTTTTCCGCGTTTCTTTGCCTTGTAGATGATCATTTGTTTGCAGGGATTAGTATCAATTGAATCTCCAACCAAAACCAAAACAAACCATGAAAATAGATTTTGGACAAACTAATGCAAACGCATGTGTCTAAATATGAACATACAATTCTTAATTCATGATGAAGTGCCATATTAAATGTATATTGAAAGCGTTTACTAACTTTTGAATAAATACTCTTCATTCAATTGTATTTGCTCTCCATAATTTTTATCTTATCGGTGTTCGGGTGTACATTTTTTTATTCTTTCTTATTTTCTCCCCTTTATTTTAACTCAACAAACAAAATAAACTCAATAATGACCTAAAATAGATTAAGTCTTAGCAATACCGGTTAAGCTTAAGTCAAAACAAGTTAGTAAGAAGTGGGATTCACAATTTTGAAAAAATTTTTAAATACCCCGATCGGGGAACACACAAATCGAAGCTCCCTTTTTTTTTAAACAGAAAAGGTACAACCGAGGCTTTGTTCAAAATTAAACCTAAGAAAAAAAGAAAAAAAAAAAAACAATAGCCTTGGATGTATTAATAAGTAAGGTAGACAAAAGTTTATTTCATTATGTCAGAACGGTCTATGATCACAACTTACAAATGGAATACGAAAAGAAGGTACATGTAAATGAGGTAAAGTTATTATGGGATGCAATTGATGTTACAATTTGGAGATGTAAGGTTCTCTGACAATAATAAGAGCTCAAAGGTGAACTTATAAGAGTTAAAAGATATAATGAGGAAAAAAAAAAGTAAACTAGTTAATCTTAAACAATAATAGTTAACGAAGCTAAATTCTTAGAGCAAGAGTGGAGCTAATGCACAACTATATTAAAGCTGTGCACAGGCGGAAATAGAACCTATGAAAAGACCGTAGAAAGAAACAGGACTTAGAAACTGGACTACAATATTGGCCTGGAAACCTATAGGGAGGTGAGGTTACATACGCTACCAACTAAGACCGAAAAGGAGTGTTGCGTCGGTGGAAATCGAACCCACTTCCTAGAGTATGTGCGTCAATGCTCTTAACCGCTGAGCTACGACGAAAACTCTCGATTCCGGTATGTTGGTTTCATGCTTTTTACCTGTTAAACTCCCTTAAGGATTAGAGGCGGGATTAGTGTAGTGCATTTTTGTAATGAAAATTGC